CGTGATGGGGTGTGCCGCAATGGGAGGGGGGGGGGGTGCAATGCGAACCCTGCTTCCATAACCATAAGTAGAGATCCGTGTGGGCCAAGATCTGCGCTAGGGGTGTCCCGAAGCAGGCGGGGGGGGCGGCATGCGAACCTTGCCTCCGGGACCGTCCGTGGAACTCCCTGCGGGCCACGATCCGTATCTGGTGGCCTTGGGCCCATCCCGCCCCCGAGCCTGGGTTGTGGGTATGAAGCCCATTGGATGCGTGTTGGGGTCTCGTGGGTGGCCTCTCGGGGGCCTCTTGGAGGCAGTTTGGAGGCCTCGTGGGGGCCGTTTGGGGGCCTCTTGAGGCATCCTGGGTGCCTCTTGGGGCCCTCCTGGAGCCCCTGAAGGCGGAAGGCTCGGGTTTTCTTTTCGTGTTCCCTCTCTTGGTCTCCTTTTTGGGCAGTGGAGGCCTCTTGAGCGATTTTGGGATGGTCTTGGGGGCCTCTTGGGCCGAACATACGAAAACACCCATATCTTTCACTTACGGAAACTCAATGATGTTTGCCTCTTGAGGCCCTTTTGTGAGACCTCTTTGTGGCCTCTTGGGGCGTCTTGTCATCTTGAGGCCATCTTGGGCGTCTTGGGCCGATCTTTCGGCGTCTCGGGCCCTCTTGGACCGTCTTGGGGGCCTCGTGGGGCCCTCTTGGCCCGTCTTGGAGCCCTGTTGAGCCCGAAAAAGGTACGCGACAAGGCGGGGGTGCCCAGGGCACGCGGCAAGCCGCAGGAGATGTATGACGCTGGGGTCCTGGCCTCTTAAAGACTCTTCAGGGGTGGGGATTGAGGCTTAGAGGATTGGGCAAAGGACCTGAGGGCACGCCCACTCCGTGCAAAGAGGCTTGGTGGCGGATGAGAGGTAAGCCTAAGTAAGCCGGGCGACGCTATGACGCTTCCCTCTGGTGCCACATGTGCAAGTATTCGCTGGGCACGATCCGCGCGAGGGGCGTGTCATTATGCGAACCTTGTCCCTGGGGACGTAGGCGGAGATCCCTGTGGGGCGCGATCCCTGTGAGGGGTGCGCTCGCATGGGCGGGCGGACGCTAGGCCAAGCCTGCATCTGGGGCCGTCGATGGAGCTCCCTGAGGGGCACGATTTGTGTGACACGATATGTCCCCCGACCTCAAACAAAAACACGACTGCATCCAGAAATTGCTAAAAGCCAAGCGCGCGCGAAGCCCGCGCGTGGTAGATGAGGACGAACGCTAACCGCGCCCCGCATCACTCTTTTGACAACGCTGGTGTCTCAGATGTTTGAGGCCTCGTGGGATCTTCAGGAGGGCCTATCAGGAGAAAGTATGGAGCCTCTGACTCTGTCCCTCCTTCCATCCCTCCCTCTCTCTCTCTCTCCCGCTTTCTCTCTCTCTCTCTGACATTCCCTCTCTCTCTCTCTTTCTGTTTCCTCGGCACATACGTATACCACATGATTAAGTGATTTCGAGGCTTCATGGGTGTGTCTTCGAGTTCTCTTGGCCCCCTGAGCGGGGCCCTGTTAGGTCCCGGAAGGGCCCCAGTGTGGGGCGTCCCAAGCGATGCCATAGAAGGCCGTTGGAGTCGTTCAAGCGGCCGTGAGAACGATGCGGAAGCGCCAAGGAGACGGCGGGAGCATCGCGAATGATCGGCTTGCATTTGTTGGTCCGCCGTCTGTGTCACGTACTCGGTTGCCGCCGTTCTTTCAACTGCAACCCTTGCCTCCACCTGCCCCTAACTCTGGAGAGTACGGTCTTGGTCGAACGGGTTCGACAAGCGTGCGCACGCGACTTGCCTGAAATATCCTGTCGGATCATGACCGGCGGTTGCCACAACGGTGGCGGAGGAGTGCGTCACACAGTGATTGTTGGTGCCGAGCTGCCAGGCGATGGGCGCAGAAGGGCATGACCGCGGGGGAGTGTAGGGCGTCGAGATCTGTAGCGACATGACCACTGCCTCTGGCCAGGCCCATCCTGGACCTGGGAGCGGTGTGTGTGTGTGTGCCTCAACTGGCCAAGGCAGGAGGGCGTACAGTCAACCCGCATAGTCAGGATGGGCAACCTCCCCAAGGGTACCCTTGAACCCTTGCCTGGCGCAGACCTCGTCGCCTTGAGGAAGGGGGTGGGGGCGCTGAGTTCCTCGCAGGGGCGCCAGGCGGGGCGGATGGCTCGCGGGGCACCGTTGGTGCCGCTGGCGTCGCCAGCGAGGGGTCCGCGAAATGTTTCCCTTGACGACACGGGCGCCAGGCTCTTCAATGCTTCTTGAAAGACGTGCGCCCCCCTTCGCTGGAACCGGCTTCTCATCCCGAGCACGGCCCCAAGATGGCCTCCAGAGGCCTGGGTGGGCCTGGGGGGGGTGTGGCGAAAAGCAGCCGTCCGGATGTTTTTAGACCGCTGGAGGCCTGCGATGTAGCAGGCCCACGAGTTTACCGCTGTTCCCCTGGGAGGTCCACGAAGTGTCAAACAAGTGCTCAAAAACAGAACTTGGCACCTCATGAGTGACTCAGGCTTTGTGAAAACACAAGTGTTCAAAAACAAAACACGATCCTCGATACTCCACTGTGCCTTCCCTAGCGAGTACGGCTGGCACGAGAATTGAGAGCAGCCTTCTCTTTGGTTGGGGTGCGCTCGTGTTCTTCGTGATTACGCTCTCTCCCCCATGCAGTCCTCTTGTCGGGCACCTCCACGGGTCCTTGTGCCTTCGGCGAGCGCTCGACTGCTGTCTTCCCACCCTCTCACTTTTCTTGGCATCGCTCGGACCTGTGCATTTTCCTTCGGCGAGGACTATCGAGGAACATCCTGGATCATCTTGCGAAACGTACACGCGCGAAGCAGAAGCATGCACGTGGAGTGGACGTCCGAGCGATGGCCAAGTTCTCACTCTGCCTTCATCCTGCCTGCTCCTTGGACTGCGGCAGGTCCGCGCCGTGCCGAGGCGTCGGCGACCCCCGCGCGGGTGGTCAAGGGGTAACACTGCCGGTGACCTGGAACCGGCCGATATCGAACTATCGAACGACCCGCGTTGTCTCAGCCACGCGCAGAAAGGGGGGTTTCGGGGGGGGGGCGGGGGGGCTTCTCAGAGGCAGCCTCCCTCTAAAAAGCCTCCCCCCCCCTCCCGCCACCCCCCTTTGCGTGCTCGCCGCCAAGTATCGGCGGGAAGTTGCGACCGCTTCGGGGTGTTGAACGAGTCCGCTCGGTGTCGGAGGCCAGCGCCGAGGTCGTCACGACGCGGGCCTGCCGAAGAGCGTCTCGCCGTGTCCTCGCCCGGACCGCCTCGCCGGGCTGCGGAGACGGGCGCGCAGGCACTGCGGCAGCGCGCGGGAGGGTGTCAGGAAAACGCCGCTTTCGCGTGGGATGGTCCTCCTCCTCCTCCTCCTCCTTCCTGCGTCGACCAAGGACCCCATTCACTGAGCACCCACCCATGAGTGGGGCGCTGAGTGCGGCAATCGCCGCCGACCTTTGTGTTGTTCGGCGGCGCAACCAGGGGGGGAGTCAGAGGGGGCGGGCCCTCGCAGAAGGCTCAGAGTCCTCTTACGTGAGCTCGTTCCAGTGCTCGCGAAGCCTGAAACACACACACACACACACACACACACATGTCTGCCCCGATGTGACGAATCGTGAAACCCCTTTGCGGAACTGGGCCAGTTGCGGGTATTTATTATGCTGATAGTGGGACGCGCTTGTCTATGTTCGGCGTCACCCCGACATACCAATACTATATGTGCGTCGCCCCCCCCCCCCCCCCCCCCCCAGGGGCGACGCGCGCACCGAGAAATCTTATAGTGTATGCGTCGCGGCATGCGCTTTCTGGTCACTCCGCTCGGGAAACGATCTACTACAAGTTGGGTATAACATGTTCGGGCCGGATGCACGCCTCCAAGGATGACATATCATATAGTACTAGTATGTTCTTGCGCGTCTAAGTTCTCTTCGAAGCCACGGACGGCTTCGAGAAGCCTCGCCGCCCTCCCACAATCAGGCGATCGCAAAAATGGATCAAGGGGGCGTGGATTAGCGACGGGTCCCAGTTCTATGGGAAATCGCGAGTTTCCGCCGCCGCGCGAGGCAGCACCGGCCGCATTTTGGGGAAGGCACCTCCCCCGGTCCATGTATTTGGCGACCGCGCGCCACACCCAGGGATCGCTGATCCATCTCTGCGCGCCCCCGAACTGGTGTGTCCTCGTGCATCTGACTCAGGAGGGGAAAAAACACACAGACACAATGAATCGGCGATTCCCCAGAAAATATGGGGAAATATGGACAGTGGGGGGGAAGACAAAAAACCCAGGAAATATTGGAAAATATTGGGAATCCTTTTATTTGTGTGTACTTATTTGTGTGTCCTGGAGCCCCTTCAGAACTGGTGTGTCCTCGTGCGTCTAGCATCTGTCCGAAGCCACGGGCGGCTTCCGAGGAGCCTCGCCGCCCTCCGAGAAGGCCCGCCCCCCCGCCTTCGGGTCATAGCGCGGGCCTCTGGCCCGCCGCTCGGGCAGACTCGGGCACCCCCCGGGAGGCCCTCGACGAGGCGCCGTTGCTGGAAGGTCGCCAGAGGAGGAAAAGGTACCCACACCTCCGCCCTCCCCTCGTTTTCCCCTTTCGGGGCCTCCTGGGCCTTCGTCGTCGCCACCGCTGGATTCGCCTCGAAATCCTGGTCAGGACGCACCCCAGGAGAGGTCCGGGGAGTAGCGGTATCGGTACCTTTCGGTGTCCCCAAGTCGGGGGTCAATGCAGACAGGGGTCAGCCAGAGCGCCGGATCTGGCAGGATCCTGCAGCGCCAGGGTCGCACTGACCCGGGTTTGGGCGCAGGATCTTGCAGGATTCTGCAAGGCCTGACCGACCCGGGTCTGGATTGACCCGGGTCAGCCGATCCCCGAGAAAGCACCCCGAGGCTGGAAAGCCTTTGGGCACACGAAGATCATCGCCGGAGAGCCTCGAGCCTCGACTGGAGACGAAGGCGAGAGCGCCGCGTCGTGGGGCCCCTGCCGGCGGGCGCCGTGCGTGGCCAGGTCCACGAGTTCACCGGGTCCGCTGTGCACTTCCGCCTGGTGGAGGAGGGCTTCCTCGTGCGGCGGGCGGCGGCCGCACTCGCGAAGGCCCGGGGGGCGGGGCAGCTCTCGGCACGTCCGAGGTATGGCCGGCCCCCGATCGTTGCCCGTAGGCTCGCAGACCCCCTCTCTCGGCGGCGACGATTGGGGTGAATGGCCCAGGGGCGGGCATTACACGTATGCGCCCTGGGGCCTTTTCGAAGACATAGATCATCGGCGCACCTGAATACATGTATTGGTCTCCCCTGGGCTTGTCGCCCATATCGTCGCCTCTGACATTCGTCGTGAAAGCATCACGGCGGAAGCTGTGTTCTTACCTAACAGCTTTTGCTGATAGGTTTCTAGTGGTGTCAAAAGAGAGCATCATGACTCCTCAGGGGGGTCTGGGCGGGTGCTGGGGAGGAGAACCGGGAACAGAACCGGGCTCGTTTTAAGCCAACAGTCACACACTTCGTGCTCTTCGACCTCCCAGAACTCCATTCCCGGGCCACATTTTGAATAACCGGAGCCAACAGTCACACACTTCGTGCTCTTTGACCTCCCAGAACTCCATTCCTGGGCCACATTTTGGATGCCTGGAGCCAACTGTATGCCACTTCGTGCTCTTCGACTTCCCAGATCTCCATTCCCGGGCCACATTTTGGATGCCCGGAGCCAACTGTAGGCCACTTCGTGGTCTTCGAGTTCCCAGAACTCCATTCCTGGGCATGATTTTGAATGCCCGGAGCCAACTGTAGGCCACTTCGTGTTCTTCGAGTTCCCAGAACTCCATTCCCGGGCCACATTTTGAATGCTGAGGCAGGCTGATGCTGAGGCTGAGGCAGGCTGAGGCTGAGGCAGGCTGAGGCTGAGGCCGAGGCTGAAGGCAGACTGAGGCTGAGGCTGAAGCAGGCTGAGGCTGAGGCTGAGGCAGGCTGAGGCTGAGGCTGAGGCAGGCTGATGCTGAGGCAGGCTGAGGCTGAGGCTGAGGCTGATGCAGGCTGAGGCTGAGGCAGCCTGAGGCTGACGCCGAGGCTGAAGGCAGACTGAGGCTGAGGCTGAAGCAGGCTGAGGCTGAGGCTGAGGCAGGCTGAGGCTGAGGCAGGCTGAGGCTGAGGCTGAGGCAGGCTGAGGCTGAGGCTGTGACTGTGACTGCCGTTGCCACTGCGACTGTCATCGCGAATGCGACTACGACTGCGAGAACAGCAGAATTCTACAACTGGATTCTCATCTGAATCTTAAGGGGAATGCTTCCAGATATGCTCCTACACATCGCTGTTAGGTTGCTTTGCCGGGATAATGCTATCCTCGGCCTCAGGGTGGTGTGGGCAGGAGCCCAGACGTCCTCCGATGTGGTTCCCCACCACGCAGGTATGGGCCGGCAGATTGTAAGAGCAGGCCGCCCGACCCGCCCTCCCTGCATGCCGCGGCCGCCAGATCCACAGGTCCACCGAGAGTCCCCGAGACTCCCGGCCCCTGTGAGCATGACAGAACATAACGAACAGCACAGGGGATAACAGACAATAGCATGACAGACCACAGTAACAGAGCACAACAGAGCACAACATCACAGATCAGGGCAAATCACAGCATACTAACGCATACTATGGCAGAGCGGAGCATACATTACATGGCATAACACCACAGCGTTACATAACAATGTAGCGCATACCATGATACAGTTGAACAGATCAGTACACAGCATGACATAATGGCTCCACTCATAACCCAGCGTCACATAGCAGAGTATACCATAACATGCCCAACCATACCATGCCATATTGCGACATATCACATAAATGACAAGGTATCACATAGCGCATCGTACCACAGGATGGCATGGCATGCCATACAATAATATAGCATATCCTATAATACACCATCACACAGCAACGCACTCCATGGCAAAACGGAGCATATTAGAGCATAGCAGAACCATATGACATAGAAATATTGCTGTACGATTGCTACCACCACGGCAACGACCGTAATCGACGATCATACACCTTTACCTAGTGAAGAGAAGCATCATGCAACAACATAGTATAATGAACCAGGCAAAGCGTAAACGGCATACCATAGCATGCTTGTTCACGATTTCGTCCATTACGACAGCAGTTATGGCATTACAACATCATAGGCTATAGCATCATTGAACAGGTATGCCAGAACCTAAACAAACACACGACACAAATTGGTCAACATCTCATAATGTAAACAGCTGGGTCGAATGTAACAGAACGCAACATGATAACATAACATGCCAATACATCTCATGACCGAGCTGCACATCCCATAGTTTCCTTCGAGTGATTAGAGTGAAGCGCCAGTGAATAGGAACATCACAACCAACGCGACCGCACCATAATATAATCAAACGCGACGTGCGCGACGAGGTCAGGCTGGCCACAGCAACAAGCAACCAACGCAACGACCGAATGGACGGCGTATCTAACGTGACACGCGTTACGACGTCACGCAAGCCCGTCGAGTACAGAAGAGACCATAGGACAGCATGACGTATTAGAGCATGATGAGATATAACGCAGTTGGGTACTGCCCAGTACAGCAACGACACATCCATGGCGCCCTGTCAAAAAGAGCATCCACGCCGACGTGTAGCTGGTCACAGGACGAAAAAGGCGCAGCAATGACCGACTAGACGACATATCAAACGTAAAAGGCCTCACGACGTCACGCCGCCTTGCCGTGAGCAGAGCAGAACAAACCATGTGCGCATATAACAGAACAGAACATAACGCCACAGAGTCTGAAATACCAGATCCATCAAACTGTTGTAACCCCGTACGACGAATGTGCGCGGCGCTAAGGCGAGAGCCACGGTTTGAAAAGGAGCCGCCTTCCATCCGTGAATGTGCTACTCTTTTCTGAGACGAGTGTGTGTTGCCCGATCATGACCCAAGATCGTGCCCCAAAGTGGATTTTAAAGGTTGTTGGAAAGGGGTGTCGGGGGGGGGTGGGGCTCATTGGTCCTGGGTGGTTGCTGGTCGCCAGTGGGACGGGGTGCTTATTTTTAGGGAGCATGCCCCCCCGATCAGGAAGAAAGGGGTTGGAAGAGGAAATTCGCTAAACGACGTACTGGCGCCCACAAGGGCTGGTGGGATTATAACATGATGGAATTTGTCATGATTTGAAACTATCGAATACAACAGCGACAGATTACCAGCGTCCTGTCAAACGCAGCAATCACGCAAACGTAAGGCTGGCCACAGGACGCAAACAGTCTCGGCAACGAACGAATGGATGCCGCCTCGTCGAGAGCAGAACATAACAAACCGTGATAGAGTAGGAGGCAGCACCGACCGAATGATGGCGTCCTATCGAATGCGACATGCGCGCCGAGCTCAGGCTGACCGCAGTAACAAGCAGCACCACAAATGGGAACAAACGCCGAAGGTTTCCACAAAGAAGCCCTCATGCTTCCAAGACGCCCCAAGAGGCCTCGGCGAGAAGACCAACATCAGTGATTGTACCACCGTTTTGGCTGCATGTTGGCCTCCAGAGTGGGGGGGGGGCTCATGCACTACGGCCCTTCCTTTTGATCGATCTCCTCCCAGATGGGCCCAAGATGACCCCCCGAGGCTCCCACGGGTGCCCCAAGACGTTGGAGATCGCTCGAAGCAGAACTTCTGTTTTCAAGTCCGCGGCCCATAGAGCTCCAGACCGCTTCCCTGGAGGTCGCTTTCGTCCTGGATCCGTGGTTGATGGCATCAGGTCCCGGAAACCGGTTCCAGGGGCCGAGATTCGGCGGCGAGCGAGGGGGAGACGTGAGAAGAAGAAGGCCTGCTCAGAAGGCGGCGGGATTTTTCGGAAGATCTCGCGCCTTCTGAGAAGTCTTCTGCGTCCTCGGGGAAGGCTCAGAAGAATGTTCAGAAGGTGGTGGGGGATTTCCGAGCCTTCTGAGAAGGCCCGCCCCCGCCCCTTCTTGCCCTCCCCCCTGGGCGCGCCGCCTAGAGACAAGGGACAAACGACAGGATAATGATTGGTATCGGCCCGGCGCTGGTCTTGTGCTGCACGACAGGGATCCCTAGAGGCCTGCTCACCAGGGATCGCTTGCTCATCCCGGCCCGAATCGCTCTTAGACTGTCCCCGGCCCCGGCACGGGCCCCCATGTTCGGACGGGGCCGGGACGAGGCTAAATCCGCGTGCATCTCTTTTTCGGCGAGGACCATGGATGAGCATCTTTCGGGCGGGGCTACGACGAGGATTACTCCCTTCCAGAGCGCTCTGGAATGCTCTAAGAGCGTTCCAGAACGCTATAAGAAGGCCGTGGCGCCCGAGACATCCTCCGGAGCCGCCGGATCTCAGAGATTTTCGATTGATCTTCACCCGATGTTATCCTCGTCCTGGCTTCGTCTTATTGATCTTGGGTCCTCTCGCCAGATCTAAAAGATTCTCGATTGATCCTCGCCCGATCTGATCTTCGTTCTGGCTCCGCCCAGACAGAAAACAGCGTCGTCTCGGCCTCTGGTCTGAGAAATTTAGGGTTGGCCCCCATGCAGGAAACATACAAAAAAAACGTTTGTCGAGATTTCGCGATCGTCGCCCCTCTTTTTTGCCACGCTCGTGCTCCGGCCGTGCGGCGGCCCTCCCCCCTTGTTCCCCGCCCGCCTGCCCGTGCCACAGCTCGCCTCGCACGTGTCTCGTCGTGGCCCGGGTGCTCTCTGGATCTGGCTCGCCGCCGGCCGAAGAGCAGTGCTTCAGCGAGCGAAGAACGGTATGAAATAAACTTTTTCGCTGTCGGGGGCGCCTGTCCCTGGGCGGCTGGAAAGTAGCTTTGGCGCCACACCCCTTTGCACCACACCCCTTCCCTACCTCCAGAAACAGAAGAGCCCCTAGCCCTGATGACACGAGAAAGACGTGGCCTTGCGTCCGCGCCTTCGCAGCAGGGATGATCGATACGGGCGGTCTGATCCGACTGCAGAAAAGGCCCCCTATCCCTCATGTTTTTGGGCCTCCTGACTTGCGTCCCCTCTCAAAGGGTCAGGGGGTATTTGTATTGCTTATCAATTGATCGTTCCCAAACTTCCGACGTCGTGCTTGCTTCGCAACGTGGACCCCCGAAGGCTCGGACCCCTTCCCAGGGGCCGGTCTTTCATCCCGAGTCGTTTTTTTGTCTGCCCCGGGGGCCAGCAAGGGCCCACGGGAGGCGAAAAAAAACATACTAAAACCGGCAGCTGTGAGTTTGCCCCTGGTCTGAGGCGGTCCGAAGCTAGTTTCCCTAAAACGACGCGAAGATCGGGACAAAATCGGATCGGGATAACTCGAAATCTCTGAGAATCGGCGGGTTTGGAGGATGTATTGGGCGCCGCGGCCGCTCCAGAGCGTTCCGGAACGCTCTGAGAGCCCTCCGGAACGCTCTGAAGCGATTTGTCCCGATCCTAGCCCTGCTTTATTCCCTCGAAGGAGGGCAAGCGCCATGAACCTCAATTGTCCTGTGCCTCGCCCGATGTTCCAAGATCGGCGCGGGGGCACCCTTGGCAGCGCCTCCGGCGCCGCCCCCGGCGCGCTCCGCGCGCCAGGGCCCGGGAGGGGGGATCCAGCGCCGACCCACGGAGTCCGCTCGCAGCTCCGAGAGTTCGTGTCCATGGCCTCGGCTCTTCCTCGTCCTGCTCGTCCTCGTCCTCCTCGTCCGCATCCTCCTCCTCCTCCTCGTCCTCCTCCTCCTCCCTCCTCCTCGTCCTCGTCCTCCTACTTCTCCCCTCCTCGTGGCCGCGAGAAGGCCCCCCGAGGATGCGGAGGACGAGGGCCTCTCCGGCTCCGAAGGGGGGGGGGGGGGGCATCTTCTAGTTGCCTCGAGCGCCCCTCCTCTCTCCCCCCCCTGCTCGGCACTCCTCGGACGTGCGCCTCTATTTTCCGGCGAGGGCCGCGGAGGAACATCCTTCGGGCGGGGCCAGGACGAGGATCACTCCCTTCCGGAGCGCTCCGGAATGCTCTCAGAGCGTTCCGGAACGCTATAAGAAGGCCGCGGCGCCCCATACATCCTCCAGAGCCGCCGGATCTCAGCGATTCGCGATTGATCCTCACCCGACGTTATCCTCGTCCTGGCTTAGTCTTATTAATCTTGGGTCCTCTCGCGACGGAGTGCACGCGCGGGATCGACCAACATGCACGGGGAAGGAACGTCCGAGCGCTGGCCGGCTGGGGCGCGCCGCAGCGAGGATCGAAGAAAAACACACGCCGTTAACAGAATCGCAGGCCTAGAGGTTGACACCAACACCAAAATCGGCGGTGTGCCTCCACCGAGGGCAGAAGATCCCGATCTCGGTGATGGTGGTAATATTCTGGCTCCCGAGGTGACCGAAATCTTACCCCCAGCACCGAAACCTAGGACCACCTTCCCCCCGGTGGAGGCCCCCCCCTGGGTTGGTATTGGTGCCCACTTCCAGGCCTCCAACACAAACTTTTAGCGCTCACCGCGCGGAGTTCTTGGATCTGCGCTGAGCCCCCCCCCCTCCCTGGCGCGCGGACGGCCTTCCGCTGCCTCCCCTCCCTCGCGCCGAGGGGCCAGAGGCTCTGGGAGACGCCCCCCTCCACAATTACTCAATATGAATATGACTCTCCCTCTTCCCCTGATGGCGTGCTGGGAGTAGCCGACCCCCCCCGCGTACTGTTTTTTACAGGATTCCCGGGAGTTTGGTTTTCGCCTGCGTTTTTTTCAAAATGCTGCTCTCGCTGAGGCGCCGGCCTCATTTCTCTAGGCCTCCTAGATGGGGTCGGAGTAGATGGGGTCGGAGGATCGCTCCGCATCGCCGATGCATCGCCGATGCGGCTCGATGCGGAGCCCGATTTGCTTCACGTCGACGTCGCCGATACATAGCCCACGTCGACGATGCATCGCTGGTGCATCGCCGATGCATCGCCGATGCATCGCCGATGTATCGGCGATGCGGCGCGATCCTCCGACCCCATCTACTCCGACCCCATCTAGGAGGCTTCTAATTTCTGCTCCCGAATCGTTCCGAATCGTGCTCCCGCTGCAGCGTGGGCCTCATTTTCGGATCGGTGTTTTGCCTCCGTCGTTCAGGATGGCGTTCTCGCCCCAGCGTGGGCCTCTTTCTCGCGCGCCCATCCGCCCGCCACCACCGCGCCGCACCACGCCCCGCCCCGCCGCACGCACACCCACCGCCACTTCCACCCACCAACGCACGCACGCACGCACGCGCACCACCACCGCGCACCGCCACCACCACCGCACTACCCCACCCACCACCACCACGCTACACCGCGTCACACCACATCACACGCGCGCACACACAGACACACACGCACGCACGCACGCACGCACGCACGCACGCACGCACGCACGCACGCACGCACGCACGCACGCACGCACACACACACACACACACACACACACACACACACACACACACACACACACACACACACACACACACACACGCACACACACACACACACACGCACACACACAGCACACACACACACACACCACCACCGCCACCACCACCACCGCCATCACGCACGTACGCACCTGGCCCACCACCAAACCACCAAGACGCCACACCACGTCACACCACAGCACACGCGCACACACGCACACACACACACATACACACCACCACCACAACAACCACAACCACGCACACACGCACGCACGCACGCGCACCACCACCCACTGCGCACACGCGCGCGGAGCCACAGGTCCGCTACGACACGCGTCCGCGGATAGAGAAAATCAGCGCCATGGTAAGGGATGGGAGGGAGGGGCAGGATGTCAGATGTTGACGCGAGCGCACCTAACTTGTCCTCCTCCCCCTCTCCCTCCTCCTCCTCCTCCTCCTCCTCCTCCTCCTCCTCCTCCTCCTCCTCCTCCCCTTCCTCCCCCTCCTCCCCCTCCTCCCCCTCCTCCCCCTCCTCCTCCTCCTCCTCCTCCTCCTCCTCCTCCTCCTCCTCCTCATCCTCCTCCTCCCCCTCCGCCCCATCCTCCCGCGCGCCGCCGCGAGGAGCTGAGGGACCCCGAGGCCTCGCGCGCCGTGGCCCGCGTGAGCTTCGTGCCCGTGGGCCCGCGCGGCTTCGGGGAGCTGTGCGCGCTGCACCGCGGCAGCACGGGGGTGGCGCTGGCGCTGGTGCTCGGCGAGTGGGAGCGGCTGCGGCAGCTCGGGGTGCAATCGGGCACGTCCCTCTCTTCTGTAGGAGGACGATCCAAACATAGCGGCAAAATAGCCTGGGGACGATCGTTCGATGATCCGTGACTGTTTGGAATATCGGTTTGGTTATTTTTTATGTGTCCTCGAAATTCCGCCTGACAGGCCCGACCGAAGCTCCGGGGGGGGTCGAAGATCCAGGGGCGAGCAAGTGACCGCATGCCCTTGATAAGCACAGGGGGGAAAGAAAGTTCGGGGTCGGGGGGAATAGTAATAATTAAGATTGTTTTCTCCCGGCAGCTCGTGTGCATGATGACAGGTTTAGTCTTATATTGTTTCACGACATATGAGGACAGCAGCTTCGATTCGTACTTTCCCCGGCGATGCTGAAGTTGGGCATCGCCTCATCAACTCCCAGGGGTTAGGGGAGGATGCATTATTATCCAGGGTGCTCGGTTACAGTCGAGGTTGACCAGTAGGTCGACCTTGCGAAATCAAGGGCACGTCAGGATTCCTTTCCGAATTCTGGCCATAACGCACCCCAGGAATGGTCGTGCCTGGCGGTAGTGGAGAATGGGAAATGTCCACCAACGTTCTGCGATGCCCCCAGGGGTACGTGCAAAATCGGTGAATTTCAGTCGCAGACGGTATTCTAGTGTACGTACTTAGCAAAATGTCCGAGGCGAATGCTGCGACAACCAGGACAGAGCATCGGGCATCGGTGTGGGTACCTGTCTTCTTTTGCTCTGGCCCAGGATCCCGCTTCCTTTTCTTCGTGTATTTCCGAGGAACCCGTGATGTCTTGACCCATTCGTTGGGACTCGTGCGTTTACATTTTGAGTTGTGTGTTCGGGGGCATACAAGAGGGGGGGATGGTTGGGGCGTGACATCAGATTGCCCAGGCCATGCAATCTCCCGGATTTCATGGACTCTTCTGGCCCCCTCCTCGTCCGCGCACATGCCCCGGGACACGATCTGCTCCTTAGCCCCAAACCCCAAAACCCCAAACCTTGACCCCCCTCCTTGATGCCCCCTCCTCTTTGACGCATACTGAGAACATTGTAGAACACCGTTTCACTATTGTGGTCAGACGACAGCTCCTAATAAAAGTCCGTGTTGGTTTGTTTCGAATGTGAAATCCATCAGAAATGCGGAACTCGAAATTTGGCACAGCATTAGATCAATATTCGGAACGGTCAAAGGGATGCGTGCCTCCCCGCGCCCGGCCGCGACGGCCCCAGACCCCCCGACGCCGTGCTCGTCAGTTGTTGGGAGTCGGCATCCCCGGCACCAATCGCCTGTCGGCGGCCTCCCGCTCCAAGAACCGATGCGTTGCTGCCGTGCGTTGTTCTTCTCTGGGAGGGCCGGAGCCCCATCTGCTTGACGATCCGCCCTCCTACTCCACGTTTCTAACCCCACTTCTCCCGACCGACGAGTACCTCAAGAACCGATGCGCATCTGCTGTGCTCTGTTATTCTCTGGGAGGGCCGGAGCCCCATCTGCTTGACGATCCGCCTCTCTTTTTCTTCCACCTCGGGCGTACGTCTTCCGCTTTCCCACTTCTTCCACGCCGGGCCGCTTCGGAGCCTTGGGGTTCCATCTTCGGCCTTCCGGTGCTTCTGCCCACCTCTGCCGACCGACGAGCCCTTTCCTGCATGGCGCACGGGCCCCCAACAAAAGGTCGGGGCCCGCTCCCGGGGCCCGGCGCCTCGTCCTGCAACGTTCCTTGCGGCGGTCCCCGCGGGGCCCGGCGAGGGCCCCCGGAGAGGCCGAAGGGCACGGAGCCCCAGAGGCCATGGAGCCGCTCCCCCAGACCGGCTTCTCTCAGGAGGGAAAAAACACAGACACAATTAATCGTCGATCCCCAAGAAAATATGGGAAAATATGGGAAGTGGGGGGGAAGACAAAAACCCAGAAAATATAGGAAAGTATGGGGATTCTTTTTTATTTCTGGTATTTATTTGTGTGTCTCAGGGCCCCTTCAACGGAGCCCCAGAGGCCTGGAGCCGCTCCCCCAGACCGGCTACTCATCCTGCGCCGTTTTCTGTGGGGCGGCTACCGGACGTGCGCGACGTTGAGTGTTGCGGGGTGGACAGGACCCCACCCTGACACGTCGATGAGTGACTTGTCCGTGTTCGGTTCTCGAGAGGGCGCCGCGGCCGGCTTTTCGAAGCCTGCGCCCGCCAGGTCTGGACCCGAGGTCGTTTTTCCTAAACCACGTTTTACTTTCTTGTTGTTTTCCACGACATGTTCCACGACATGTTCTTGGAACATGTCTGGCTGGGACTGTCTTGTCTTAACACATCGGGTCTATGTTCTAAGGACTTGTTTTTGCTCTTAGAATAGTCTTGGGGTCTAAATACATGTCGTGGTAGGCCTATCGGAATGTCGGGACGGTCGGTCCCTGCTCAACAGAAGCTCGCGCGCAAACTCCCTCGCTTCAAGCGTAGGCGTGCCGCGCCTGGCGGCCCGTGCAAGCTGCGGCGCAAGGTCGCCATGCCGTCTCGCGCAAGACCCGTCTCGGATCGTCTCTCAGGTGCGCATCGGAGCGAGGGGGCCGAACTTACCAGCCTCGAACGTATCCCTATCCCTAGGACGTTCACGCCAAAAGGCGATGACAATCTTAGGGATTCGCCCTCAAAAAACAAGGGAATCCCTAAGATTGGCATCGTGATGAGGAGGTGCCCAGCATAGGGATAGTGATATGTTCCAGGCTGGTAACGAACGGTCTTACACCATCCCAGGACGCGTCAGATGCTGCTTCTGCATTGTTCGGTGCCAGTTGTGCCCCACGCTGGTGCGGTCTGCCCCTGCCTCGCCGCCGACGGAAAAAAGGTTGGTGCCGTCGTCGTCGTCCCTTCGGCAACCCCCTCGGCGACCCCCCCGCGACCCACCCCGCGACCCACCCCCGCGACCCACCCGCGACCCACCTGGGACCCACCCCGCGACCCACCTCACGCCTGCCCCCGAGGAGGAGTAGACGGAGGAGGAGGAGGAGGAGGAGGAGGAGGAGGAGGAGGAGGAGCAGGAGGAGGAGCAGGAGGAGGAGGAAGAGGGAGGAGGAGGAGGAGGAGGAGGAGGAGGAGGAGGAGGAGGAGGATCAGGAGGCGCCCTCACTCTTTCTCTCCGCAGCTGCGGGGTGCTACCCTCTGGGATCGTCGGAGCCCTCCGATTTCGATGTGTGCTCCCCCCCCCACCCCGAGGCAGTACGCCTCTCCCGGCGCCCAGACGACGGCCGTGCACGGCTCCGTGCAGCGGGGCGCCGTCTTGGAGGCCGGCGCCGCGGACGCCCTGGACCCAGCACCGGCCGGCCGAGGGGCCCCCTGCGGGGCGACGGTCGGCGGCGAGCGAGGGGGGGAAGTTCGGGGAGCAAAAAGTGGCATAAACATCAACACTCGGAGGTCCGCGCGGATTTCTCGGATCGGCGCTGGGGCCCCCCCGGCGGCGCCTCCGGCGCCGCCCCTGGCGCGCTCCGCGCGCCAGGGAGGGGGGTCCAGCGCCGATCCGAGAAATCCGCGCGGACCTCCGAGTTGTTATGCTTATGTCACTTTTCGTTCCCCTAGAAGTTCGGTATCGTTTGACCGGTCCCCATCCCCATCCCCATCCCCTTCGAGGCCCCCACCAAATGACCCCCCCAATTGGGGATGCACCCCTCGAAACCCAAAGGGAACTGCCTTTCTCCCCCATCTAGGGGGTTAAAGCGGCCAGCGGGGCCCAAGCCACGCCGCTGGGGATGGGGATCGGTTAAACGATACTCAGAAGTGAGAGGGAGAAGACCTGCTCAGAAGGCGGCGGGACGTCTCAGAAGCCCTCGCGCCTTCCGAGAAGTGTTCGGCGTCTCTTCGGGGAAGGCTTGGGAAACTTCTCAGAAGGCCGGGGGGCTTCCGAGCCTTCTGAGAAGGCCCGCCGCTTCTCACTTCCCCCCCGGGCTCGCCGCCTGCATCCCCACTGGGCCATAGTGGTCATCTGAGCCCCACCAGCTCACCCCCAGAGGTTGAGATAGGCCCCGCAGAACCCGACGGGAGCAGCACTTAACCCCATCTATAGGGGGGCAGATTGGACAGTGGGGCCAAGACCATGCCACTGGGGTTGAGGATGGGATGAATCGGCCACAAAACAGACGACACCGCCCCACCTGCGGCCCTCCATGTTGCGCTGCGGCCCATCGGGAGCCGTGGCCTACACCATGCAAAAACCCGCCCACGCCAGATGTCCTGGTATACGCTGCGGCCCGTCGGGCCGTGGGTGGTGTGGTGTCGTTTGTCCTCTGGCCCAACAGTCGATGCTCATAGGGGGCCACTTGCGAACCCTACCCCTGCCCCCCACGATTTCTGAGGGGGAGGGTGGGGTTCACTTCGCTCGGGATCGTTGGGGGTTGGGGTAGGGGCAGGGTTCGCATGTGGCCCCCTAGCTCAGTGCACCGCTCTGCCCCCCCGCGGGCCTCCGGCCGGCCAGTCGCGGCCGTGGCCGCCGCGATCGCCGAGTTGCGGGAGGGGCGGTCGGAGCTGCTGGGCGCCGGCCGCGCGCGGCTGGACCGCGCGCCGCTGGAGTGTGCGCCTGTCGGGGCGGCCCCCTCGGAGCAGGGAGGGTGAGGTGGGTAATCGTAAGGCTGCCGCCTCTGCCGCCGACCCCAGAGAAGGGTTTGCGGCCCGTTGGGTGTGTAGGCATGTTTGGGGCGCTGTGGTTCCGCTGCTGGTTCTGACAACATGCAGCGCAGACGGCGAGCCACTGTGAACGCCGCCAAAAGGGCCCGCATACATAGATGACCCAGGATGCGGAGGGTGTCAAACGAGGTGGTAGAGGGGGTGGAGGTGGGGTAATTAGTCTCTCTCAAGCAGTGGCGAAGCGCCCTGGCGTGCCTACAGGCCTACTAAGCCATATTCCAAGAACCCTTTTTGTGGTTTCCACGAAATGTTCTTAGAGCATGTCTGGCTGGGACTGGCTTGTGATAACGCATCGGCTTTACGCTATACTAACAGTGTTTTTGTTCTTAGAACATGTTTGTGTTCTAAGAGCGTGTCGTGGTAGGCCTACAGGAATGCCGGGACGGTCGGTCCCTGCTCATCTCTCTCCCTCGGGTGTCCAAGATGTGGGGGTAATGACTCCGGAGGATGTGGACAGCATGGCCGGGGCCATGAGATCTACCAAGTGTCATGGCCCCCCCTTCTCGTCGTTCTTGTGAATATTTATTATTCTCATTATTGCTAATATTATCATCTTTCTTCTTCTTTCAAGAGCGGCCCCCCCTGGGCCATGATTTTCGAACCCCCTTCTTGGACTCCCCCCTCCTGGACACCCCCGACTCTAAGCCTTCCAGATGGGGTCGGAGGATCGTGCCGCATCGCCGATGGATCGACGATGCGGGTCGATGTGGGGCCCAAAGTTCTCACCGCCGATGGCGCCGACGCATGGCCGATGCATTGGCGATGTGGTGCGATCCTCCGACCCCATCTAGGAGGCCTCTAGGTAAGGTGAGGGGATAGTCCCGAACCCAGTTGGCCTTGGAAACGACAGGGCAGTTTGTGTGTCCGTTGCTTTGTTTTTTCGGCGCCGTTTTTGTTGGCGTTTCCGGAGCCGTTGTTCCCGACCAAAATGTAGTGCTGGGTCTTCGTTTTGAAGAGACAGAGCCCCGCGTCCCACCTCTCCTCTTCCCCTCCTCTTCCCCTTCTCCCCCTCCTCCACGCCTCCCCCACTGTGGCACACCCCTCACACGTTTAGTGGCCCCATAGGGAGCTCCACCAAAGGCCCAGGTGCCAGCGTTCGCACGCGCCCACCGCACCCCTTTTGGCATTCCCTTGTGCACGCTTCGTGGTCCCATAGGGAGCTGCACCGAGGGCCCACATGCCATCGCTCGCATGCGCCCACTGCCCAATTTTGGCACCCCGCACGCTTCGTGGCCTCAATGAGAGGTCAACCGAAGGCCCACATGCCAGCCGCTCGCATGCGCCCACCGCGCAATTTTTTACACCCCTCACACGTTTCATGACGCCATCGGGAGCTCCTCCGAACGTCCAGATGCCAGCGCTCGCATGCGCCCACCGCACCCATTTTGGCACACCCCTCACACGTTCCATGGCCCCATCGGGAGCTCCACCGAAGGCCCACATGCCAGCGCTCGCATTCGCCCACCGCGCCCATTTTGGCACACACTTCACATGTTTCGTGGCCCCAAGGGTAGCTCCATCAAATGCGGTGCATACCACGGCGGTGCCCACAACTGCATATGGTCGGGTCTGTCGCCAGGCAAAGTTTCGTGCTTTCGTTTCCCCTGGCTGGGGCTTAATAACCCAAAGTTCACATGTGTTTGTCGGCTCCGGACCGTCGTCGACTTGGTTCGGATTGTCCGTCGGATCCCCCGGCTGCCCAGGCCGTTTCGGCGAACCGTTTGTTTATCCCTTCGATTTCGTTGTCTGGCACTTTTCTCGGGAGGGAAAGAAACACACAGACACAATGAATCGCCGACTCCCCAGAAAATATTGGAAAATATGGGAAGTGGGGGGAAGACAAAACCCCAGAAAATATGCGAAAATATGGAGAACCCGGTTATTTGTGTGTATTTATTTGTGTGTCCCTGGGCCCATTCATCTTCATGATCAAGGGGCAGTGTGCTGAAAGCGGTACGAAAAAATCCCTGCCGTTCTCAGGGCCCACGGAGGCCCCAAGGGGGCAAGGCGGCGAGCCGCCTCAGACCAGCTCGAGGGATGCCCGAACCCGAGGCATCCCCCCTCCCTCCTCTTCCTCCTCCTCCTCCTCCTTCTCCTCCTCCTCCTCCCCCTCCTCCTCCCCCTCCTCCCCCTCCTCCTCCTCCTCCTACTCCTCCTCCTCCCTCCTCCTCCTCCTCCTCCTCCTCCTCCCCTCCCCCTCCTCCCCTCCTCCCCTCCTCCTCCCCCTCCTCATCCCCCTCCTCCGCCTCCTCCTCCTCCTCCTCCTCATCCTCCTCCTCCTCCTCCCCCTCCTCCACCTCCTCCTCCTCCTCCTCCATCTCCTCCTCCTCCTCCTCCTCCTCCTCCTCCTCCTCCTCCTCCTCCTCACACACACACGACGTGGTCCGACGTCGGCACCACCACGACGCAGGAGCCTTGTGCCTCCAGCAGTCCTGCGCGACCTCGCTGGCACTTGTTTTTGCCAACCGAAGAGGGGCGCGCCCCGCGGCGACTTAAAAGGGATGGGATGGGATGGGATGGGGCGTTCGCAAAGCGATGTAACACGGCACGCAGACCTTCCCGACGAACCAGACGACCAAGTAGGACACGTCGAGGAACCCGGGTATGCCGGCGCTGACCACGAGCTGAAATGAGAAGTACGGGAACGGCAATAGGCAGATACCACGTGTGAGTCCCTCACTCCAGACCTAAGAATACCAGAGAACTGAAGCTTCACTCCTTCCCACCAACCACGCTGGAACGAAAAATGAAAGAAGTGAGCCCATGATAGGAGAGACGGCTAAGCCGAAACGAAGACTGCTCGATGCGGCCCTTATGATTCAATGGACCGAAACCATTGGTCATCGGGCAACCCCACATCCTGGAAAAATACGAGATCGCAGCCTCCGCAGGCGGCCTCGCCCCCAGCCAACCGTAGGAACACTATGACAAAAGTCTGAAGCACCAGGACACTATGCGAGGCGCCAAATCTTTGGCCAGTAGCTGTAGCACAATTTATGGTGAAGCGCTCGCCCAGTGCGGCACTGAAAGGGAGGGCGCTCCGAGGGGACCGCGCATAAACCAGACAAGAAAATACCAGTGTATGCGCTAGCCCATGGCTGGAGTGCAAGAGACGATGCGCCGAGGGGACCGCGCCTGCCGTTGTTCGCCCTTCTCGCACGTGCTGAGTTCAGCGTTGTAGCTGACGACTGCAGGCACACACCCTGCCTTCTCGCACTTGCTGATCCCAGCGATGTAGCTGATGGCGCCCCCTTTATCGAACGAGCCTCTCCACCACCTCTACGTTCGGGATTCAAACCGACGTACTTGCTGTAGCACGGGTCTGTGACTATGAACGCGTTGTTGCCGATGGTCGCATTGTAGCCCAATACGTCACCGACGCCGCCCGCCGTCACAAAGAACCCTATCCAGCAAAGCAGCAAATCACCAGAATACCGAAACATGATCGGGTTCGCTCCGCTTGGCCACCAGGAAAGCTGTCACAGAAACAGGATGCTGCCTGGTGCTCCTCAAGCGCCGACGGAAAGGCGCGGAGCTGGGTGTCCCACGGCCAGTTCGAGCCCAAATGGGTACGACGCTCGCCACGGGCCACCTGTGCTTCAGCTTAAAAGGGAAAGGGGGAAAGCAAAAGGGGAGGGCGGGGGAAAGGGTAAAGCAGCAGCAAGAGCAAGCAGTGCAGGGGCGGCCAGCAAGCCGCCGGGCGCGCCCCGGCTTTGCGGGGGCGCGCTGCCCGCCGCGCGGCCGGACCCTCCGCCGCCGCACGGCGGCCGCGGCACACCCGACAAGCGAAGAATTGACGGCTGCATGAGCAGGAACTTGCAGAGTTCTCTCGAGTCGGGCCTGCCCCGCTACAGGAGGAATGTCCCCCAAAGTAGTCAAACACACAGTCTGGGGACGATTCTTGGACCAAGCTTGGCTATTTTTGATAATTTCTTGCGTATGTTTCCCGATCAGCGCTTGCACTGAGAGGCTCCTAGCAGAAATTGACATATTTGGCGAAGGTGTCCCGCCGATTTTGCTGGCCGGCTGGGTTCCCGGGTTCCCTAGTTCTGGGTTCCTTGGTTCTTGGTTATTGGTTCCGTGCCGATTTCGGTGGGTTATGGGTTTCCGGGTTCCCGGTCGATCTTCTTATCGATCAAAGCATCCATTGATTGGGTTTTTTCTCTGGTGTAATTTGGACCATGCTTGATTATGCTTGAGCATTTCTTGCCTATGTCTCGCTTCTCCTCCAAAATACGCCGCTAGGGGGCCGTGCCCGACCTTGGATTTCTCGGGTCGGCGTTGGGTGCGGGTGGCCCAGCGCCGACCGATACTCAGGAGCGAAACAAGGACGTACATGTACATGAATCCACGCTGGTTTCGAGAGCACGCATTGCACAAATGTTCATATAACGCGGCGGGTCTCGCGAATCGAGGGGCCGTGTTCACGTACATAGCTGGGCGCGTACGTCCTTTGTGGGCTCCCTAGATACGGATACCGAGCGAACCTCAGACAGTCGACATTCACGGGGCCAGAAAAGATACACCACCACCACCACCACCTCCTCCTCCTCCTCCACCTCCACCTCCTCCTCCTCCTCCTCCTCCTCCTCCTTCGCCTCCTCCTCCTCCTCCTCCTCCTCCGCCTCCGCCTCCTCCTCCTCCTCCTCCTCCTCCTCCTCCTTCCTCGCCCCCCTTCCCTCTCCCGCGGGAGAGGAGAGGAAGAGGAGGGAAGAGGAGGGGGGAGGAATGGAGGTGGTGGTGGTGCACATTCTTGGGACCCGCAATGTTTGCATGGTCGCCTATTCTTCACAAAAGCAGGCCTCTGTCAGAGGCTGCTAGCGGTGGCCCCGACCTCAGGCGACCCTGGCCTCCGGAGCGGCAGGAAGCACAAAAGCATGCGTTCGCGTCCTCGAAGGTCGTCTTCCTGTTCCTTCTCAGCATGCTCTCCTCCTGCATCTTCCACTCGTTTTCTTGTCACTGAGTTGTACCATCTGCTGTCGCACGCCAACGTGCCGCCGGAGATGCTGCTCACACCGAAGCGCCAGGTGCCGTTAAGATCTGTTTGGCGCAGTCCAGTTCCTTGTCACCCAGAGCGCGTCTCCAGTGAGTTGTTGTGTTCGTGAGGCGGCGACGAGTCTTCCTCCACACCTCGAACGTTTCTCGTCCCGCCGTTCTTGAAGCAGACAGTCTTCCTCTACAAAGACGGATGCAATCAACATCAACGTGTCCAGTCACTTTTGATCGCGATCGTGGTGCCACGCCGCATGCGGAGGAAAAAGTAGTTGCGGTGCAGGCAGGTGCGCAGACGGGGCTCTGGAATCTGCGCATCAGCCTTCTGAGCACGAGTGTGAGGTGGTCGTGCTCTTGGGTATCTGCCTGCCGTCCTCTGGAGCTGACGTCGGCCGTCTCCTGCTCTCCCGTGACTGTTTCCGTAGCGCGAATGGTGTGAAGCCTTGAAGCATCCAGTGGGGGGTTTGCTCAGGAATGCACCCAGGAGGCTTCAGACCCTGGAGGGTTTTTTATTGGAGAGGCCTGACGGCCGGTGCCGCCGACCCTGATCGAAAGGGCTAGGAGGGGGGGGAGGAAGCGGAGGATGAGGAGGAGGAGGAGGATGAGGAAGAGGAGGAGGAGAAGGAGGAAGAGCAGGAGGAGGAGGAGGAGGAGGTGGATGAGGAGGAGGAGGAGGAGGAGTATTTGATAGTGGCGCTGGTATCCACTGCCGGTCCACGACTGGCGCTGGTATCCACTGCCGGTCCACGATTGGAGTTTCACTAACTTCCAGGCCCTGGATTCCTCATCGAAGACGCCTACGGCGAACCACCGCCGCCCCCTGCCTTTGTGGAAGCGCCTATGGGGCCGAACGTTGAGGCCAGACCTGCCAAGCTATCGGACCATTCGTTCCCCGAATCGGTTTGGAAAGCCTTCGGGGAACACGTGGGCATCTTGAAGGTCATCTTGGCCGTCTGGAAGCCATTTGACTCTTTCTGGCTTTCTTGGAGGACGTCTTGGAGGGCTCTTGGACCGTCTTGGAGGCCATCTTGAGCGTCTTGGAGACCTCTTGGGCCGTCTTGGGGGCCTTTTGGGGCCGTGTCTTGGGCCTCTTGGGCGATGTTTGGGGGCACTTGGGCCGTCTTGAAACGTCGGAAGGCCGAGAAGAAGCAAATTCCAAAATCCTTCAAACACCTATGGAAAATCAATGATTTGGGCCTCTTCGGGCCCTCCTGGAGGACCTCTTGCAGGCCGCTTGGGCCGTATTGGAGGCATCTGGGGGGCCTTTTGGGCAGTCTTGGGCCGTCTTGGACTCTCTTGGGCCGTCTTGGAGGCCATCTTGGACCATCTTGGGCGGACTTGCAGGCCATCTTGGGCCATCTTCGTCATTGTTTGAGGATGTCCCGAGCGAAACGGCCGTTTTTGGGAGGATTGTTTGTGCACGTTCGCGATTGTTGAGGATGTCCCGAGCGAAACGGCCGCTTTGGGGAGGATTGTTTGTGCACGTTGCGATTATTTGAGGATGTCCCGAGCGAGCGGCACGGTGGCGGGACGGGCCGAAACCCATTGGGAGAGTTCTTGTGGAAAAAGAACCAAAACCAAAACCGAAAGGATCTAGCACGCCAGGCACCCCTGCGATGAATCCACAGGGGGCGGCGGATCGAAGACGGCTACGGCGAACCACCGCTGCCCCCTGCCGTTTTGGAAGCGCCTATGGGGCCGAACGTTGAGGCCAGACCTGCCAAGCCATCGGACCATGTGTTCCCCGAATCGGTTTGGAAAGCCTTCGGGGAGCACGTGGGCATCTTGAAGGTCATCTTTGCCGTCTTGGAGGCCTCTTGGGCGATGTTTCGGCCATCTTTGGGGGCTCTTGGGCCGTCTCGGGCCGTCGGAAGCCCGAAAAGAAGGAAATGTCAAAATCCGTCAAAAACCTAAAGAACATACATGTTTTTGGCCTCTTCTAGCCTTCCTGGAGGCTTGGGGGCCTCTTGGGCTGTCTTGGGCCAGCTTCGAGCCAACTTCGGCCATCTTGGTGGGTTCCTGGCACGTCTGACGCCGTCGGGAGCCCTCTTGGGGGCCTTTCTGGGCCAACGCGGGACCCTCTTGGGGCACTTCGGGGTCATCTTGGAGGCCATCTTGGGCGTCTTGGAGGCCATCTTGGGCGTGTTGGAGGCCTCTTGGGCCGTCTTGGGGCCATCTTGGAGGCCACTTGGGCCGTCATGGGGCCCTCTTGGGGCCTCTTGGGCGATCTTGGGGGCCTCTTGGGCCGCCTTGAGCCGTCCGAATGCCGAGAAGAAGCAAATTCCAAAATCCTTCAAACACCTATGGAAAATCAATGATTTGGGCCTCTTCGGGCCCTCCTGGAGGACCTCTTGGAGGCCTCTTGGGCCGTCTGGGAGGCATCTGGGGGGCCTTTTGGGCAGTCTTGGGCCGTCTTGGACTCTCTTGGGCCGTCTTGGAGGCAGTCTTGGACCATCTTGGGCGGACTTGCAGGCCATCTTGGGCCATCTTCGCGATGTTTTGAGGATGTCCCGAGCGAAACGGCCGTTTCAGGGAGGATGTTTTCCGGAGTTTGTGCGCGTGGGCAGGCCTCCCGGGACCTTGGCGGGACGGGCCGAAACCCATTGGGAGAGTTCTTTTGGACAAAAAAAACCAAAACCGAAATCGTCCAGTACGCCAGGCACCCCTGCGATGAATCGACAGGGGGCGGCGGATCGAATGGCTTTCGGCCCATCCTGCCACCGTGCCTGGGTTGTATCGAGACTATTGGATGTTCGTTGGGATCTCGTGGGATGCCTCTCGGGGGCCTCTTGGAGGCAGCCTGGAGGCCTTTTGAGAGGGCTGTTTTGGGGCCAACTTGGGGGCCTCTTTTGGGCCTCTTTGAGGTCTTTTTCAACCTCTTGGGGGCCTCTCTGGGCCTCTTCGGGGCCTGTCGGGGGCCTCTTTGGGCCTCCTGGGCGCATCTTGGGGCCTTCTGGGGGCATCTTGGTGCGGAAGGCTCGGATTTGCGCGTCGTGCTCCCTGGTTTGGGCCCTTTTTTGGGCCGTCTTGGGCGCTTCTTGGGCCGCCTTGGGGCGCTCTTAGGCAGTCCTGCGGCCCTCTTGAAGGTTTCTTGGCTGTTTTGGAATGGTCTTGGGGGCCTCTCGGGCCCTCGTCGAGCGTCCGAAAGCCGAAGGGGCGAGAACGTCATAATCCATCAAACACCCAACGGAAATTAATGATTTGTGTCTCTTGGGGCCCTCTTGGGAGGCCTCTTGGAGGCCTCTTGAGGCGTCTTGGAGGCCTATTGGGCCATGTTGAAGCCATCTTGGGCATCTTGGAACGATCTTTCGGCGACTCTGGGCCGACCGTCTTGGCGGCCTCTTGGAGCCCTCTTGACCCGTCTTGGGGCCCTCTTGGGCCCAAAAGGTCATGCGAGAAGACGGCAAATCCCGGGAGAGTTGAGAATTTGGGATCCAGGCCCGTTAAAAAAGGACTTCCCAGGACTGAGGATTGAGGCGCCAGGGATTAGGCAAGGGACCTGAGGACACGCCCACTCCGTGCCCAGAGGCAAGGTGGCGGATCGACGGGTTCCTCATCCAATGCCCCCACCGTACTCGAGGGATAACGTTAGGGGGATAGGTTGAGAGGGGACAGCACAATTCCAATCGCCGACTGATTGGGGTCCGACATTGCCGCCCAGGAACGTTCGTTCTTCGTCATCGGGGGCTTCTCGCCGATCTGTCAGGGACGTATCGCCAATACCAGGTCGATGTTTCCCGTCCCCCTTCCTCCCCTAGGCTGGTCACCTTCGAACGTTCCATGTCACTAAAGTCATCCTCCCGCCCCCAGTCATTTAATGTTCGGATGTTGTCGTTGTCGTCGAGCTGCTCTCGGCAATCGCTGGCCCCTAGCTCCGAGTGCCACGAGCTGCGGGCCCGTTGGGGAGGCATTCGGGCCCTCATTTGGCCAGGCTGCGGCTGGTGGCTGCCATTTGGGGCCAACGGGTCCACATGTTCGAAAGAGCGCGTTCTGTGGTCGCTTGGACGGGGGTGGGGATTTGGAACGGGACGGACCCCCCCCCCCCTGGATGAGAGGGGGAGGGGTTCGAACACCCCCCCCTCCTCCCGTGACAGAGCGGGGGGGCGGAGGTTTCAACCCCCCCCCCCCTCCCGTGACGGGATCGGTCCCTGCGTCCCAGCCGTCGCCGGCGCCAGCGCCGGCGTTGCTGGCCGGCGCCGGCGCGAGAGGAGGAGGAGGAGGAGGAGGAGGAGGAGGAGGAGGAGGAGGAAGAAGGAGGAGGAGGAGGAGGAGGAGGAGGAGGAGGAGGAGGGGGTTTGAACCCCCCCCCCTCCCCCCCCCCTTGAGCTGCCTCTGGTCATCGTCGCTGCGTCTCCGCCGTGGGCGCTGCTGGCGGCCGCCAGCAGCGGCGCTGGCGCGAGAGGGGGGCGGGCTTTGAACCCCCCCTCACCCCCCTGAGCTGCCTCTGGTCATCGTCGCTGCGTCCCCGCCGTGGATGCTGCTGGCGGCCGCCAGCGGCGGCGCCGGCGCCGGCGCCGAGGGGGGGGGGGGGGGTCGGGAGGGGGGGGAGGTGGGGGGGAGGGAAGACCTCCCGGTTTTGATTGACGGCGCCGAGTGTTGGGGGGGGCCCACCCCCCGGTTTGAAACGCGCCGCCGAATGTTCCCAAGGCAAGTGCCCGTGAAACGCGTTCTCTCAAATGTTCGGATGCAACTTTTGGGAGGCTGACCTCAGCATCGCCGCGGCCGAAAGCTGGCACGATCCTGTGCAATTCCGCTTCATTACGTTTAATCGGGCTCGCCCGTTTTCGGCAGACTCTAAATGCATGTTTCACATAAAACAGAAAACAGCTTTAGTAACCTCATGCCCGTGAGAATAAACACTAGGGGATAATAAAGTTCGGGGTTCAGGGAGAGATAATAAAAGTAGCCCAGCAGACCTCAGCATAATCTCGAAGTAAGAGATGATCAAGAGGAGACCAAGCCGAGCACGTTTTGAGACATCCTTGGCGTTTAGTTTTCATAGAAATATCCTCAACAATGGCTTATCTCGCTGGAGACATCAGGAAAAGACTATAGGAGGAGGAGAAGGAGGAACAGAAGACAAATGTCGAGTTTCAAATCTATTAGATATTGTTTACAAGCGCTTTATGAAAATTGTTTTTTGTAAGTGCTCGTGTAGGGTAGCTCATGTGCCTCAATTTCCATGGATAATCAACCCCAGAGATAAAAAAAAAGTTCAGGCGAGCGTGGGGACAGAGAGAAATATAGAAGAAGAAGAAGAATACAGTAGAATACTAATAAGAAAGAAGAAGAGGATAATAAGAAGAGGACGAGGAAAAATATCCAAAGTTCCAAATCTATCAATTTTAATGTACAAGCGCTTTATGAAAATTGATGTTTTAAGTGCTCGTGTAGGTGCTTCACTTTCCATGGATAATCAACCCCAGGGATAAAAAAGTTCATGCGAGCGTGAGGACATATAGAAATATAAAATAAGAAGAGGAAAGTATAATAATAATACGAAGAGAAGAAGATAATAATAAGAAGAG